GAGCAAACGTATTTCTAACGCGTACAATTGCCTTTCTTGCTACTTGTGTATTTCTTTTATAATGTTTAAATACAAACAATTGTCCCTGCATCACAACAAGACAGTTTGGCCGAGTGGTCTAAGGCGCCAGATTTAGGCTCTGGTCCGAAAGGGCGTGGGTTCAAATCCCACAGCTGTCAAATCTTTTTACCTTTTTTTTTTTAATTTCAAAGTACAACGCAATCTCCAGGGGTGTTTACGTCAATTACTATAGCCTTCCCCATCCAAAAACCCTAATTTTATAAACCAAAATTTGTCGCCTGCGATTATCCCTCTTTCGTTTCCTCTGTAAGCTCTCTCTCAGCGAAGAAGAAGAAGATCCCAAAACCTTATCGTCTCCTTCTCTCATTCGTCTGTAATCATGGTATTTACTTTCTCTCAATCTCTCTTCTACTCCTCCATGGTGCTTCTTAGATCTCAATCTGGGATTTTCTCGAGATTGTGCTTGGATTTTGTTGATCTATGGCCACTGATTCGTTTTGCTTGTTAAGATAGTAACTAGGTTTGGTGTCTCTTTGTCTGTGTATGTTTATACAGTCGAGGAGAAAGACGAGAGAACCCAAGGAGGAAAATGTGACACTAGGACCAGCTGTTCGTGAGGGTGAGAATGTTTTTGGTGTTGTTCATATCTTTGCTTCCTTCAATGACACCTTCATTGTAAGTTTCTCATCATTTAGAGAGCTCCAATATAAATATATTCTTGTGTGGATTGCATATTTAACCTTGATCCTTTTTCATTTCTGTAGCATGTCACTGATCTCTCTGGAAGAGAAACTCTTGTTCGTATCACTGGTTAGTTCTGTTCCTTGTAATAGATTGCAAAAGCCCTAGTTTCATCGTTCTGTATAGTTTGTATTCACTTGTTTATTAGATATGGTGTAGGTTTGAAGTTGTATTCATCTTTGGCTTGAATTCTTGATATGTGATTATTGTAGGTGGAATGAAAGTAAAGGCTGATCGTGATGAGTCGTCTCCTTATGCTGCTATGCTTGCAGCTCAAGATGTTGCTCAAAGATGCAAGGTTTTAGATATGATGCTTTGAGCTATTTCTTTAGATGTTTTCTTTCGCTGGCGTTGATTTTTTATTGCAATTCACCTTAATGTTGTGTATCAGGAGCTTGGCATCACAGCAATGCATGTGAAGCTCAGAGCTACTGGAGGAAACAAGACTAAGACTCCAGGTCCTGGTGCTCAGTCTGCCCTCCGTGCTCTCGCTCGTTCAGGCATGAAGATTGGTCGCATAGGTAACTTGTACCCTAAACCTAATTTCAATTTACCTTGTGAACCTAAGAATTGACCTGCCATATATTTTTCTGTTTCGGTGACCAATAATTCAACTTGTAATTCTACAGAGGATGTGACTCCGATTCCAACCGATAGTACCCGTAGAAAGGGTGGTAGAAGGGGAAGGCGTCTGTGATTTTTCTCACAATCGACTACATGTGCCCTGGGTCTCATTCCGTTTGGTACTTCTACTACATTCGCAAAATTTTCTCGCATCTTGCTTTAAGACTTTTCTTTTCATCTATGTAACTTTAGCATTTGAATTTTCATGAATGAAGAAATGGATAGAGGATAATGATAATGAACACCTTTAAAAACTTTGGTTGTTTTGTTCTTCTTCATAGTTTCTGCATCCTCTCTGATTTATTACAGATTCATCTTTTACAAAGACTTTGAAATGTTTATTGAAGACAGCCATAAACACATACGTCATAAAAACATAACAACAGGAAGGTACTCTTATTACAAAGCATCCGAGAAAAGCAACAAACCAACATAGATTATAGAACTTTATAACTTCAAAATCCGAATCTTTTAATTTCTCCTCAATGATCATGGCGAGTTTATTTTCCATTTCGGGAGTTAGATAATTCTTCCAGTCACCAACTTTTCCTTTGCGGAAATAGCTACTGTAATCAATACTGTTCCATCTCTTTCCGGTTTTGTTGACCTCCAAACCGCTCAAATTACCGAGAAAGCATAGTTCCAAGATCCCGTCAACCAATCCTCTCTATTCTTCTTTCTCGGAGAAAGGACAATCCAAGAACTCAGCAAGCCTCTTGAACTGAACACGAGGCTCTGCTTTCAGTTCCTCGTACCTCATGAAAAGGACATGCTTTGGGGTTTTCCAAGCTGCCTCTCCAATAACTAAGGGCATGGTCCCAAACAGGACCGTAGAAGTCAACTCCCCTGCAGAACAAATCGAACATTGACTCGAGCATGCTTCTAGCCACATCATTCTTATGATACTTGCCCCGGAAATACCAACGGGATATCAACACGTCCTTTGCGTTCCTGCACAAGTACACAATCTTGCAAAGGCATGTGAGTAGAGAACAGCCTCACA